GGTAGGGAGGGGGAAAGTGGGAGATGAATAACGATTGGAAAGCAGCATAAATGGGTGGGGAATCCGAAGGAAAGAAGGAGATAGAGCGATAGATAAGGAGGAGGGAGGTGTTACTTTGTATTAAATAATAAAGATCAGGGTTTTACGATGGTTTTAAATCAACATTTTCTCATCTTCAAAACATGTATTTTTTTGCAGTAATAATAAATTAAAACAGTTATTCAAAACACCAGTATCTACATTAAATATATAGATGTATTTAATAAATGCAGTTCGAACATACCTATATAAATTGTGTTGTGTACATTGTCTGCGGATCTAGCTGCGCTAATCCTTAAATACGCAAACTTGTAATGGGACTAGACTATCTATGTATTGTGATTAGCTTAAATACAATGATATATATATATCTGTGTAATATTGTAAATAAATATTAGAACCTAACATGTAACATATAAATTTTCGTAAATACATCAGTTGATATAGAGACTCCACTTTGATTACAGTGTTGAGAGTAATTTGGTTTTCGTTGAAACATAGGAGTTGAGATTATGCCTTGAGATTTGGCATTGATAGTTCACATGATTGTAACTGTGTGGATTGTGTCCTGGTTGAGGCATTGATCAATTAATTGCTAGTGTCTATGTTGACATAGATAGCTAACAAAATCTCGCCCAGTGTTAGTGCCATAGATAGTTTATGGGATTGTAGCTGCGTGGATCATGTCCTGTTTAAGACATTGATCAATTAATTGCTAGTGTCTATGTTGACATCAATAGCTAACAAGATCGCGCCCAGTGTTAGTGGCGTAGATAGTTTATGGGATTGTAGCGGTGTTGATCGTGTCCTGGATGAGACATTGATCAATTAATTGCTAGAGTCAGTGTTGACATCGATAGCTAACAAGATCGCGCCCAGTGATAGTGGCGTTGATAGTTTACGGGATTGAAGCCATGTGGATTGTGTCCTGGTTGATATTCATAGCGGACAGATTGTACCTGGACTGATACAGTTCTGGACGAAGTTTTAAGAGTACGACATTTACTATATGTAAAACTAATGCAGCAGGAGAGCTTTTATAGCTTAGAGCTGTTTTCTCAAAGCTCTTCTGTCATCCTTAAGAAAGGAAATGAGAATAATTAAAAACTGAAATTCATTCATCAAAGAAATAGAGTTTTGCCACAAACTCTAATTTTTTATTCCCTATATCTTTGCAACCTAATGGTCTAAACATTTAATATTTAAAACTTAGACAATTTTATTAACCATAACTATGATTTGAAATATTGGTCTACGAAAGGATTAAAAAATCTGAGTTTGTGGCAAAAACTCATTTCCTTTTTAGACAGCCTCGACTTACAAGGGTCGCAACGCCTTGGCCTTTGGTTTTTATTTACTTATACTGTTTTTGAAATGGCAAAGCGTTTATTTTTAGCTAAAGTTAAAAAGGAGTAAATGGCAAAATACTGATAGATTTTTGGATGAGAAACTGATCTTAGTTAGTTCAAACATTCTACAGCATAAAGAATGAAGCTGTTGAGTTGAGGTAATTGCCTATTATTATTAGTCCACACTCCTAGGAATAAGTTTTCTCAGGTCATGGTACACTAACTTAAGATCAGTCTTAGACATTGAGGGCAAAAAAACAGTAGCAAATAAACATTTTTGGAAAGAAAGGACAAAATAAAAAAGCCAATACATTTCGTTTTGGAAATAGAGAGCAAATAGCAAATTAGAAACACAAACTTAGCTGATGACGATTTGAACCTGGCGATATAGAACGTATATTTTTTGGACATCAAGGGCAAAAATGATGAGTGGTAAACGGGGGCAAAAAAAAGAAGGGATATATATTAATATAGCTAAAATACTTAAAACATGTCTTTTTTGTATATTTTTAGTAATAAAAGTTTGAAAACTCCAACAAAAATATGTTAAAAGAACACAACGTTTTTTGCTCACTGTATCTATCTATATATCTATCTATCTATCTATTTATCTGTCTATCTATCTATATATCTATCTATTTATCTGTTTATCTATCTATCTATCTATTTACATTTTACATACCAGCTCGGGAACCCAGCTTTGTCTGTAAATTACACTTTATAAAGTTCCCGAATCAGAAGTTGATGCAAATCGGTCCAGGTGTTTATGAATTAAGATCGAATATTAAAAACAAACAAACAGACAAACAGAGATTACCAATTTATTTGTACAAAAGCTAAACTACAATTTGAACCTGAAATATAGTTTCTTTTATGATTACTTTACCGCTTGTGTAGGGTTTGAATTCCTTTTAGAATTTGCATCATTCTATATTTGAAATAAATTGAAGGCTTTTAGAACAATACATCTTTACAGACAGTTTACGCATAAATCTGGAAACAAATATAAGTTATACATTTTTAAAATATCAAAACACGGGCAGCCGTAGTACATTTGAATTTCCGAGCCGGGTCAACCTTTCCAGTCCCAGTTTGTACTGTAACGCCCGGACATTGGGTAAATAAAGCAGACACTCAATAGGTGGAACAACGTTGACGCGGTCAGACTTTAGGTTTAATTTACTTTTACTAAAGGGTCAGAGGTGCGTGAATACTTAATACATTGTATATGCAGGGTTAGTCAAAAAAAGTCTGATTTTTGTTGCCTGGTGTAAAATTGCATAATTTTTTGTGCAACAATCACATTTTTTATTTTGAGGGGTGAATAGTTTTGTGAAATTTTTTGGTGGCTATGGGCCACTAAATTTTTTTTATTCAACCTGTATATTTCTTAATTCCAACAGAAGATGGATCCAACCCTTTAAACATTTTGTCTTGGAAAAAAGATCTTAAGAATTTAAACTGAAAAAAGTTTTAAATATTTATAATAAAGCTTTTCGATCATTAATATATATATATGTATATCTGAATAAGCTATACCTGACCAAACAGCTTAACCAAATTAGCTACAATTTTGTTAGTAAAACCATGTGAACCCTGGGGGATAGGCTTAAAAAATTATGATTTTTTCAAATTCGATTTTTTTAAAATTTAGTTTCTTTTTCAAAATTCGTTTTTTTTCTATGTTATGTGTTATTAGTACACATTTCGAAAAATGTATTAATGTATTAATTATTTTTTATTCTTATTAGATTTTTTTTATTCCACGGGCAACAGATTATAAAAGGCTAACAAGACTTTATAGATGTATTTACAAATACAAATGCAAATTTGTTTACTCTATATGTAAGGGTGTACATATGCCGATTGCCGAGTTCAATTAGCGCCTGAACCAATCAGGGTTCAGTCATGTGTTTGGTGTCTATTCTGAACCAATAGAAATTGCATGGCGGTAACATTTATCTTTCTATCTATTTCATTATCCAATTAGCGATATGAATTCTTTAATCGGCGCTATCAGTAAATGGAAAAATTAACTTCTACTGAAACTATGATGATATAATTGACGAAATTAAATTAATTCTAGAGAGGGTTTTTGAACTTGATCCAACAAAATATAAATATATGATGTCAATCTATTTTGGTACAGAAACAGATTCACGTTGTATCTTATACTCAAATCTGAGAGTTCAACAGTTACATATGTGTTTTCCAGTTAAGGTAAAGGAAGTTTAAAATAGGTTTTATTTTGATAAAATAAAAGACAAAATATATAAATAATTTGTAAATTTTGTTGTGTGTAAAGGAAAATGCTCAAGATTACATAGTGGATTCAGACAAGATTTGGAAAACTTGATTTTCTTTTAATGCCCTACATCAAATATCTTTCTGTTACTTAAATTACCATTATAAAACAAAACCATATTATATTTTTTAGATCAAGATTAAAAACCCTGAAGACCTTATATTTGACTAATGGCAATCATGCTATATACTTTAGCCTTATAGTTAATAAAATTTTGCAATTATGATCAAAACAAAAAAATTAAATGTCTAAAAATAATCAACTTTTTAGTAGACACATTTAGAGGAAAATGGACCCAAAGAACTTTAAGAAAGAAAAAAAACAATACCTCTTTCTTTTTTATTGTATAAAAACTACGAAAGCACACGAAAACTCCATAAGATCTCTTCTATAAATCCACGAAACCTCGTTGGAAAATCCACGACAACTTTCTTTGGAAATCCACGAAACCTCTCCTGAAAATCAACTAAACCTCTAGAGAAAATCCACGAAAGATTTCTCTTGGCTCCGGCGGATGAGGAAGAAGAGAAGGGATATTTCAGTTTCCTCGGAATAGTCGGTATACCAATACAGTGCAGTGGGGGAAACTAGATTATATTCAACAAGAAATTACAACTTAAAATATGTATTAAGGTATAAAAAAGAAAAACCAGAGAAAAATATTTTTTCAAAAGATTTTTTTTTATGATTTTTTGTTAAGTTTTCTAGAAATATTGTTTCTTAACAATTAAGATTTACGATAATGCATGAAACATTTTTCTTTTTATTAGCCGCAAGAAAATTGTGTCGAAAAATGATATTGAAAATCTAAATAAACGATTATAAAGGTATGATACCATGAAGCAAAATTTTAAGAATTTGAGCCGCGTCTCAAATTGAGTCGCGGTTCAAACATGGTTAGTTTCACTTGAAATTGTATTCAGGGTTTCGAGATTTTAACCGACGCTCAATTTGAACCGGTTTTTGACGGTTCATCTACGCGGTTTAAATTCTTTAAATTCGGCCTCAGCAGAATTTTACCTAAACGGCAAATAGTTTTTTCTGTACAAAATTAAGGATGAATTTTCTTTTGAAAATAAAGATTTGTAAAAATGTCAACCCCCCTTCAGGACGTTTACAAGAAATTTTAGAAATCCGCTATTTTTTCGAGAGGGGGTGATATGCTCTTTAGCACCCCTTTGTATACACTCCTTACCCTACCTCACATCTTTTTATTACCCTATTATTTTTCTTCTTCTTTTACTACTAACGAGAGCTCAAACATGAATGCTGTGTCCTATACTACATTGGAATATAAAAATCTGACATTTCTTGAATAATTTTAATAAATTTAATCTTTAGAAAACTTAGTCTGAGATAACCCAGTCTTGATGGTTGAACAGGCTGATCTTCCGGACGATGAAATCACCAGAAAATGAGATTTTGTTTGCTTCTGATAATCTTCGCACATTTCCTATCCAAGGCTGATGCAGGTAGGAACCTCTACAAACAACAAACATAAGTAACAGAAAATTGTGAAACTATTATCGTCTTCATTTCTCTTTTTGTTAATAAATGGCACAAAGTTTTTTTAAATTTGTCCGTATCTAAAAGTATTCCTAGAAAGAAAATTAACAGTATCCTTCGTGACATTTGATAACAAAAGAAAATGATAAAATTATTCTTCGTTTTCTGCAAGAACAAAAATTAAACAATAACAAAAATATCAAACATTTTGATAAAAACATACATTTTGCAATTCAGAAAATAAATAAAAATAAAATATATGACAAAAAGATGAGAGAACATTGTTTGACGCCATTTTCAAATTTCTTTGATGGTAAAAACATCACTTTTGACCAAACTGTTATTTTAATTTTCGTGTAAAGTTTTGGAACTTGCAAGTTAATATTTTTTATATTTTTTCTTCAAAATTTCAAAATTAACTAGTTTTAATAATTGTGATTATTTTGATAATTTCAATAATTTTAATTATTTTAATAATCTTGGATAACTTTGATGATTCTAATTATATCAAATATCTGGATAATTTTAATAATTTGATAATTTTGATAATTTTGATAATTTTGTTATTTTGATAATTTATAAAAATTTACCAATTTCGATAATTTTAATGTGATTTTTAACCATGATAATTTTGATAATTTTTAACAATCATTCAAAATTTTTGCAAAATTTTTTTTTATTTTCCACCTTTCCTTCAAAATTTTTTTTTTCGCTCAAAAATACGATCTTTTTGATGCGAAATGGAAAAATTTCGTTTTTATCAAACAAAATTGAACGAAAATGAGGTCGAAAATACATCAAAATTTGCCAAAATTTTGAACGAAAATGAACGAACGAATTTCGTTTCTACAAAAGAAGTTAAATGTTTATACAAAACTGGTTGGATTTGCACTCAAGTAACTTTGATAAATGTAGACGTGTAAAACATGATAAATGTAGACGTGTAAAACATAATATTTCCATAAATACCAAGGTTTATAAATGCTGGCAGTATATTCAAGAAGATTGATATGTCGGAGTAGATATTTTATTTATATCTACTCTCCTTCTACTGTACATAGATAGATGTTGATTTTCTATCAATATTTTTACTATTTTTCCTTATAAAATGCAACAGGGGTTTTATTTCTGAAAACACTCTTAAACCCAGATTCTATCCTTTATGCTCTTTTGATTGCTCTTTATACACATCATAATTGCTTGATGCAATCCATATACAATAATATATTTGTATATTATTATATATACATATATATACTAGCTTGGGAACCCAACGATGCCCAGAGTCCGAATTTAATGAATTTGAGCCACGTCTCAAATCCGCTAAAAACCGGTTTCAATTAAGCGTCGCCTTAAATCTTCAAAAATTGAATACAATACAAAAACCCACTCAATTTAGAATATCAAAACCAAGCTAAAAACATTCCGGTAGTTCTGTCGAGTTCTCCAATACAAATTTGAGGCAAATCGGTCAGGGGGGTTTCCTGTATGATGAAAAAAGGGCGTTTGTCGAAGTAAAATTTAAAAGTTACACCATAAGATTGTGTGACAATGCAAAGAGTGCCTTAGAAGCCATGAAAAACACATTCACATATTTTTGTTTAGGAAAAGGCTGGATACGCTTCCTGTTTTACTAAATATGATGCAGGTAATTGTTTTATACAGTAATAACCAGAAAACTCTGGAATAGGAAGACAACTTTTAAGCTTAAATTATGACTTTAGATAGTCCAATGAGCACTGGAAACCGAATTTATCAGTGTAAACAGATCCATTTCACTTCATTTATGATTATATAAATTAGTTGGTATATAACAACATGAAATACACTTACGTATTGCTATAAAGTCGTCTTCCTATTTCGGAGTTTTCTGGTTATGACTGTAGTATCTCAAATCAACAGTATTACATCTATCAGAAAGTTGCACTAGTATTTCCGCATTTCAAGGGATTGAATAAACATGATTTTTAAGTGACATGACATGATGACACTCCCTCCATAGACTGACATGATGACACTCCCTCTATAGACTGTCATGATGACACTCCCTCCATAGACTGACTTGATGACACTCCCTCCATAGACTGACATGATGACACTCCCTCTATAAACTGTCATGATGACACTCCCTCCATAGACTGACTTGATGACACTCCCTCCATAGACTGACATGATGACACTCCCTCTATAGACTGGCATGATGACACTCCCTCTATAGACTGACTTGATGACACTCCCTCCATAGACTGACATGATGACACTCCCTCTATAGACTGGCATGATGACACTCCCTCTATAGAAGCTATGATAACACTCCCTCCATAGACTGACATTATGTCACTCCCTCTATAGACTTCCATGATGACACTCCCTCCATAGACTGACATTATGACACTCCCTCTATAGACTGACATGATGACACTCCCTCTATAGACTGACATTATGACACTCCCTCTATAGACTGGCATGATGACACTCCCTCTATAGACTGACATTATAGACTGGCATGTCCAATTTGCAATTTTAACCTTTATCTGACCAAACATTGTTTTCTATATATAAGAATGATTTACTTAAAAATTCCATAGTATTTTCTGAGTTTCTCTTTAAAGGTTGCATAGACAAAAAATACTTCATCACTTTTTAGATTTACCTCGACGATATTTTTTTCTCATTGAAATTACCTCTACAGTCCCTTTGAACAGATTCTTAAATTGCAATATTTTTTTCAGATGGGCTCATTACCGGACGCGGCTGTACAAACAAGGTGAATTTAGCGTGCTTTTATGATTTACCCAAATTTGAGCTGGGGTTTTGGTATATTTTTTGATCTGGGATTTTCATATATTTTTGTTAAGTTCTTAATACATGATACAAAAATGCCCAAAGCTGAAAACTTTAGAGTTGTGGATATCGAGATCAATGCATTGTATCCTTTTTTGATTAATATTCAGACTAAGGGGGACCCCTTTTTGACATCAGATGATTCTGGAGGTTGTGACCTTCATATATCAATGACCTCAGGAAATCAAAATATGAAATCAATGAAAATAAGTCATTTGAGGTCATAGTCTAATATTAAACAGATGTAATCTAAAATAGAAATATTTACAATTATGTTACAAAAATAAGAACAAACTTGAAAAAAAAACTTTACAACGCCGCAACCAATTGTACACTTTTTGTGCTGCAATATATGTTTGGTGTTACATACTTCCCCAAATGCATTTTCTCAAGGGAGACTTCCCAAGTGACAACTTCCCATGCGGCAACTTCCCAAAAGTTAGATTAGGTGGAGGCCCTCTAAGGCGCCGGAGGCTTTAATGGGGGTCGAGTGCTGCGGCAAGGATGGGCTAGGGGCCGAGCGCCGCGGCTAGAACAGGCTGGGTGCCGAGCGCTGCAGTTATAGCATACTTGGTAAGTTACCACTTGGTAATTTGCACAGTTGGTAAGTTACCACTTGGGAAAATACCTTTGGGAAGTTACCACTTGGGAAAATACCCTTGGGAAGTTACCACTGGGGAAAATACCCTTGGGAAGTTGCCACTTGGGAAAAATCTTTTAGGAAACTACCTAACACCATATTTTCCCCCTTTGGCTACAATGATGGATTAGAATACATTGTAGGTTAACCCGCCTGAGAACGCTTGTGAATCTTTTCAGTCCCGCGAGCTGGTGAGATATTTTAATAAATATCTTTATACAAATAAGGAAGAAGATAATTAAAAAAATAAGGGTGGGACGAAGGTACTAATGCAAGGAAAGTTATTTCAGAGGTGTACGCATTTTTTGTACTGCAGTGCACTATCTTTGGGCGGAAAAGTAAACACTAGACGTACGTCGAAGCCTGACATGGAATCCATTTTCACAAAAATAATCTATAAAAAATAATCAATTAAATATTCTGGTCTTAGGAAACTATTATGTGAATTTTCAAAATTATCGGACACTGATGCATATATTCTTGTTTACAAATTCCGCCCAGAAAGAACTGGTTTCAATATGTACGCAGAGTATACGCAACTGCGATTAACTTTCCTTGCATAAGTACCTTGGTTGGGACCATCTGGCACTTTTTCGATAAAAATGTTCAGACCCCTTTAGCATGCGTCGTAAAAGTTTCCATAATAAAAAAGAAAAACAAAGAAGAAAAAAAATGTCCTTACTTTTAAATTTATTCTATAAATTACGTTTTTTGGCAAAAAAAAATTCACTTTTGGAAGCTAAAATATTTTTTTCTCAAAATTACGTCGATATGGGTACCGAAAAAAATGACCTTCTTTTTTTTAAAAATCTTTTCAACAACTTCAAAGTGTTTATGTAAGTTAAATGAACAATTCCTAGTGGGCCATGGTTCATAAAGTGCACAAGGGATACCAGATATTTTTTGTTCCATGTGGCCACATCAAATAAAATAATTAATTAAAATAATAATTTCGTTCTCAAAGACGATTAATCATAATAACAAATGTTCTGAAAAATATTGATTTGATGTTTGATATTCACCTTCCTCACTTTAATCCTGAAGGGAAAATTTGAATTTCCCGGGGAAAATATCAACCAATCAGATTACAGAAATATATATTAGAGTGGAATTTAGACAATCCCTCAGTATGATTTTTTTCAGTCCCTTTCATCCTAAAAGGGAGTTCAAAGTGTATAAAGCATTTTAGTGTTCACAAATTATATGCATTAATACAATATGTTCCCTAGACTATCCATTTCAATTTAGAATTTTTAAAGCTGTTAAATAAACTTTATAAAATGAATTAGGTGAATAAAAAACATAATTTGATTTATATTTATAACAGAAAATCATCGTTTGTAAAGTGACATGGAGTCGAATGTAAAATGATCATTTGACAATTATGAAACCAGCCTATTTCATAATTTGGTTATCTTTTAATATTAATTTTAGATGTTCTATAAAATGATGTTCCAGGGCCCAAAAGGTAAACACAAATATGTGAAGTACACATGCAGTATGGAAACAGTACAACAAAATGGCCGTTTTACACTTTTTCTAGTAAATTCCACTCTAATATATATTCTAATCTCTTTGGAAATTACGGATCGTCAGAGATCATGCAATACCAGCTGTTCTGCTCTGATGCTCATGATCAAAGTTTGAGTCAAGATGACAACTAAACAAGATATACAAATTATATAAAAACTATGTTCCTTAAATATTTTTTTTAGGTTGAAAAGTTTTGCTATTGCTCCTTCTACCTCTGTAACAGGTATAATAATAATAACATTTTTTTAAAATAATTCATTTTATTCAATATTTTTTAGAGATGTCAACTCATCGAACACATGTTCATTGGCGCTTGAAACCTCTCTTCTTATTCTGGTGCTAATTCGTGTGCTTCGAGAATATTAATTAATTTTTTACTTTTATTTTTTTATTTGTGATTTGGAAATAGTCTTTTTTCCCAAGCCCCTTTTGTACTTTGCTCTGTACTATTTTTTCCCCGAATTCACGATCCATTCACTTTTTTTCTTTCCCAATTAACTTCATTCACTTTTTTCCTTTCCCAATTAAATTCATTCAGTTTTTTCCTTTCCCAATTAACTCCATTCACTTTTTCCCTTTCCCAGTTTTTCCTTTACATTTTCAGGTCACATCTTTCTCCTTTGTAAGACGTTATTTTTCGACCGGAATTTCGTTGCGCGGAATTTCGCGGAAATGCATGTTATTGCGCGGAAATGCATGTAATTGCGCAGAATTGCGTGGAAATGCGTTTAATTGTGCAGAATTGCGCGGAAATCCGCGTAATTTCTCGGAATTGTTTAGAATTGGGCGGAATTGTTTGGAATTGCTTGTACTTTCAAGACTATTTGAAAAAATGGTCTAAGGCCGAATTTAAAGAATTTAAGCCGCAAAAAACAGTTCTAATTGAGCACCGGCTCAAATCTCGAAATCCTTAATACAAGTTTAAGTGGAACCAACATTGTTTAAGCCGCGTCTCAAATTCAAGAAGGCGGCTCAAATTCTTTAAATTCGGCTCTTAATATCATTTGCGTGATAGTGAAGTTAATGAGCACATTTTGATTTAAAAATCATTGACATAAAAATACAAACAGACTGTTATGGACACATTTCTGTTGAGACACTCTTATCATGATTTAGAAAAAAATCTTCTTAATTTCGAAATGATTTATAATTATGATTTTTTGCTGACAGTACTTGGATAAAAAAATGCAAATTCTGACAAAGTTAAAGAGCTTTTATAAAATAATCTAATGAATACAAGTTTGACTTAACCAGAGCTCAATATAATCTAGTTACAACAGAGTTGGATTTTTTGAATTTCTAGAGTCCTTTACCACGATCATAAATTTCTAGCTCTCTGATTTGGTTGATTTTTAATCTCACATTTTAGACATTTATAAAGGAATTGAATCTTTGCCACAAACTCTGATTTTCTAATCCCTATATCTTTGCAGCCCAAATAATATGCCAAACAATGAATCTGTTAGATCAAGTAATCTAAGTTTAAGATATCTATGGTTTACACCATCAGGCTGCAAATATAGGGATCGGAAATCTTGAGTTTATTGCAAAACTCAATTCCATGATACTCAACAGAGAAAAATAGAAAATCTAAAAGCAGTAAACATAAAAATCAAAAAACCATGTTTAATTTTCAATTTTAAAAGAAAACGTTTGTTAAGTGATGGTGAGTAAATTGGATATTATTTAAAAGACATGAATTTAAGTGACCCACCATTATATAAAAGCATGTCTGATTCATAACGGTACCGTTTATACCTTTGACTGATAAATAAAAAAGGTGATTCACTTGAAATATCGTCTTATTTTTGCTTTAAAGGGAGTGACCGGCAATGTATGGAAGTTGAACTGAGAATGTAGTATTTTAGAGTAATTTTTTAGGATTTATTTGAGACCTTAAAAACTTTGGTCAGCAAGAAAGGAAATTCAATTTCTTTTACATCCTCAAAGATTGTCCATTTTGGAGGGATAATTTTAAGAATCGGTTTATAAAATTTATTCAATGACTACCACGAAAATGTAACAAAAATTCTACAGTAAACTATAATATAATAAGTTGTTTTGGAACCGCTGGGGAAAATAAAAATTTATTCTTATCATCGAAAATAACTAATATTATTCAGTAAGTAGTATCTGTAATCACTCATTCTTCACAAATATTTTCTATAGATTTCCTGCAATTTTTATTGAACAAACGACATTTGAAGAATTTGAAGAAATCTGTGTACAAATTTGTAAAGAATAAGAAATTCATTTTGGTGATGAAAAGGAAATAATTGATTCTAACATTGATTTATTGACAATTTTTTTATTGAGAAATATGTTCCAAAACATCCAATTAGTTTACTTTAGAATTTTTGTTACATCGTTCTTATTATATAATAAAAAAAAACGATTATCAAAATCATTTCCCCAGAATTGACAATGAGTGGGGGTTTTAAAAATTTAATTTGCACTCTTGCTGAGCAAATATGCAGCGTAAAAACGTCTGATTTGTCTCAAATTAATCCTAAAAAATTTCTGTACAAAACTGCATTTGAAGTTTAACTACCATACCTTGCCGGTCACTCCCTTTAATGCTGTTTTTTCACTGAAAGATTGGAGGCAGGAAAGATATTCTTAGATAAATCAATATCTAAAAGTGTTTTGAAAAAAAAATTTGCGTTAACAGTTTATAAAAAGCTTTAATACCCGTGCATTTGAAAATCTATAAAAAATATTTTTTTCCCGCACAGCGCATTCAAATTTTAACCATATCTCTAAAATAATTATGTTTGTAAAAAAGTTTAAAAGAGCTGTTTAAAAACACAAAATCTTAAAATGTAAAGATTTGATTTCGTTAATTTAATTGAATTATAATTGTTGTTTTACCCTTGTATTTAGTTGTTTATATTTTACAGTTTCTAGTAAATATATTTCTAGCGATCATATTTCGAGTAATTATATCTGCATGAGTGTTTATATAGTTCAGTCAGAAGTTTTCATCTTTGGGTTTCATGGTTCAGGCCTCGTAACACCATAACACTGAAATGAATGCTGAAAGAATGCAAATTGTCTTAAAATATTTTTAAGATCGAGATTTTAGAACTTTTCTCAACTCAAATAAAATGGAAACAAATCGCCCCGAGATAAACAAGATAAAAGGAATGGTGAGACTAAATTGGAAAAAGAAGAAATATATTTACTTCTTCCTGAAGGTCTTTCAAAAGACATGAAAGGAAAATAAAGAGCCTGATTTAGAAAACATGAAAGGAAAATATAGAGCCTGATTCAGAAGACATGAAAGGAAAAAAGAGCCTGATTTAGAAAACATTATAGAAAAATAAAGAGACCGATTCAGAAAACATGAAAGGAACATATAGAGCCTGATTTAGAAAACATTATAGAAATAAAGAGCCTGATTCAGAAAACATGAAAGGAAAATATAGAGCCTGATTCAGAAGACATGAAAGGAAAATATAGAGCCTGATTCAGAAGACATGAAAGGAAAATAAAGAGCCCGATTCAGAAGACATGACAAGAAAAAAACCTGATTCAGAAAACATGAAAGGAAAATATAGAGCCTGACCCAGAAGACATGAAAGAAAAATATAGAGCCTGATTCAGAAGACACGAAAGGAAAATAAAGAGCCCGATTCTGAAGACATGACAAGAAAAAAACCTGATTCAGAAAACATGAAAGGAAAATATAGAGCCTAACTCAGAAGACATGAAAGGAAAATATAGAGCCTGATTCAGAAGACATGAAAGGAAAATAAAGAGACCGATTCAGAAGACATGACAATAAAATAAAGAGACAGATTCAGACGACATGATAGGAAAATAAAGAGACCAGTTCAGAAGACATGACAAGAAAATAAAGAGACAGATTCAGAAGACATGACAGAAAAATAGAGAGCCCCATTCACAAGACATGAAATGAACATAAAAGCGCCTAAATTAGAAAAATAATAGAAAAATAAAGAGACTGAGTATTGTCAACTTGACAATAGTCGACAAATGGAAATGGCATTGTCCAATAATGCAACCAATGTTTATAATCTGATTTCTTAACCTTCAATTAGATTTTCCAAAAAATATTCAATCTTTACCGATGCACTTCAGAGCGGTTTCCTCTCTCCTCCTCTCTTTGTTAACGATCGTTAACGATGAATCGTCAATAAAGATCGTTATTGAAATGGCAAGCTTTATAAAAACCATCATTTTGCAAAACAATAGTTTCATTTTCGTTTTTTTGTCGTCGTTTTCACAACGAAACGATCGTTTAAAAAAAAATGAAAAATCCCTACATGCAAATGGTTTGACACCTTTTCAATTTACAGTAATAATCGAAATTAAAAACAACAAATATTTATATATTCTTAAATTTCACATTTGGTCTCCATGTTTATTTTTACTTATCATTAGATTTATCAGGCCCACTTTCGTAGTAAATTACAATAATAGGGTGTCCCAAATAACGCTCTTAAAGCTTTTTAACTTGCTTGTCAGAGTTTTTAATTTTTTTTGTAATTTTTAAAGAATCGTGCGGGAAAATGCAACTCTGGGAATTTAGGTATACTAGCTCTTTTGAATAACGCGTTTTTAACCATTTCTTCAATCCAGGATCATCTGATTCCGCTTTTTTTAGGCAAACACTCCCATTAAAATCTACGTAACATATCCAATCGATGAACAACAAAAAGAGGTATATTTAGCACTAAAATGAGTCAGGTATGACTGTTGGAAGTCTATTAATTCTTCAAATGTTGTGTTCTTACAATGTATAAAAAAATGCGAAAGTGTAATGCAAAGCTGTAAATATGAAAAGACAGAGAGCCGCGAAGCGCCCTAAAAGTTTAACTATATACACTATATCTAAGTTGGTAAAAGAAGAAGTAAGAGGTTTAGTTTGAGTAGCACATGGTGAACTGTAATCTTATTTGGGAAACTGCTAAGAAGCTTTGGTAACTTAATTTTAAAGAAACCAGAGACGGGGGGGGGGCGGTGGTGGGGGGCAGACATGTTGAAAGATATACATTAAACAATAGTTTTCTAATATTGATTTTTTTTGACCCAAGGCTGAAACTTTTGTATACTAAATGTGGTTTTAGCGCTTCGGCGATTTCTATTCTCTGACTCCTCCATGCCGAGTCCATTAGCGCCTGATCCAATCAGGGTTCAGTCATATATTTGTTGTCTATTCTAAACCAATAGAAATTGCATGGCGGTAACATCTATCTTTCTATCTATTTCATTATCCAATCAGAGGTATGAATACTTCAATCGGCGCTATCAGTAAGTGGAAATATTTACTTCTACTGAAACTATAGTAGGCCCTATTTACGAATTTAGCTCGAGCAGAGACAGTATAGATGAAAAGAATTTACACAAACTAACAACTTAAAGATAATTTGTCTGCATATTAATTAACTTTTATTTTTTAACAAGAATCATGAACCAGTCATACTTTATGACAGCATTAAATAATGTAATCTAAGAGAAAGGTGTTCAGCTGAATATGACTTAAATATGACTGAGTATCATGTTTCATGTTAATCTTTAGTAAATCATTTTCTGAGAGTTAAATTTTATTTAAATATTTCCGCAACGACTGCTATGCGTAAGGGATGTTAAAATTAGCAAAGAGCAGTGGGCATATTTCCCCTCAAATGACACGAATGTTTAGGGTAGATAAAGGTCTTCCTGATTTTAGGTAAAAATTGGGCCTGTATTATGTTTCTGATTTTTTTTGATAAATTTGTTTTTTTGTTCATTTTTTTCTTCTTTTGTTCCCGCCATTTTCCCCTCGGAAATTGAATTTGAGGCCCGTTCTTCATTTTTGAAGTTTTTCTGTTTAAACATAAAATCCAGTTCATAATTGTGACTAACTTTCTGGACTTAAAATGAAAATAAGCCAAAAAGATTTCCCGGATTTAAATTTTTTTTTCGTTGATTTCTTTAATTAATTAACTTCTGTGCATTTAACATATTAAAGAAAGACAAAAAACTTTTTGTTAAAAAATTGTGCCAAGTAAAATTTGTTTTCCGCCATCAAAGACAAAATCAGTAAAATAGGGGGTCATATCTATATTTTTCAAAATCATCTACTAAGATTTTGAATTGAACCTGTAATATTCCTTTAGTTCTGAAATAAGTTATTGAAAACCATTAAAATCTGAAACTTGCTTTTTTGGCGGATTTTGTATTTTTATTTCTCAACTTTTCTGCCTTTGTTACATGTGGAGTGCATCTAATGTCACTAATTTAAGGTAGGAGATTTCATGTTTGCCCTTGAATAATTTCCGAATGCATTGTATTTTTGCCTGTATATACTTCTCCTTGGATTCCTATTCCTCCAGTCTAAAAATCCTACTTCTTGGGTTCTATAGATATTCCATGGAACCTAAAAAAAACCTGCTCTCGGCCTTAGGAATGGGCATTGTTCTCAGGAAATGATCGTTCTTTCCCAGGAACGAATGGAATTATAAATAGCGATGGGATTCTTCCGAGGAAAAGAACACTTACATGGAACGTGCTCTTAAAAATATCAGAACAATCTATTAAAGAATGAACGGTTGAAAAGAACTGTCTGTAATCGTTCCATCAGGGAACCCTAGCACACACTGAATATCTATTTTAAACATTTTTAAATTCACTTGCGGCGAGGCGGATTTCCACGAAAAAAGAACTTAAATCCTTAAATATAAAAGTTTGCACCATAAATTTCCACTTATCGCTGAAAATTGTGGTTAAAAAGTGTTTGTTAAAAAAATCACCTGTCCTTCATGTCATTTTAAATTTTGTACACATTTAGTTATTTTTTTTTCATAGAATGTTCGAACATTTGGTAGTAAACAATGTGTATTCACAGTAAAAATGTGAATTCCACACGTGTAATTCAGTCCATTTGTCTTATAACTAAAGATTCTACAAAGAAAGGATAAATAACTTCATAAACATATCTTATGCAGATTAAATGTAATGTTTAAAAACTAATTACAATGGCTAAATCGTATCTGATAATTTTTTTGAGGTAAGCTCTGTTTGTCTGTAAACAAAGTAGTAATCTTTGTTTTGCTGTTTTTTGTCTGTCTTATTATAACTTGCAGGAACCCTAGGAACGATTTGCCTCAAATTTGGATTCGGGGAGTTTAAAAATTCTAAAGTGAGTAGGTTAACTTTAATAGGGAAAACTTCAGACAAAGCCTGGTTCCCAAGCTAGTGTTATAGTGAGGGTAAAAGTAAAGAGAAGGGACGCCAAGTGTTCTTCTATAGATAAATCCATCCCTCTTCTATAAAATCTTCTTTATGTTCAATCCTTTTACAGAAATGGTGTGTATTTTACTGCACATATTTACACCGATGTAAATATACTTCTATCGAATGGGGGAAAACCAAAAGATTCAGATAAACATTATAAAATTTGAATCTAAATTTGAAAAAGCTTTTATGATCATTTTTAAAAGCTACGCACAAAAAATGTCTAGAAACATTTCAGACTTATTCGGGTAATTTGAAGTTAAACTAAATAGTCTATTAGCTATTTAATGGTATTAGTCTTACTTTTCAGAAACAACTATCTAAAATGGTATGATACCTTTGCATAGACACTATTTGATGCTTTTTGTCATAGTCATGGATTTCTGAAAATTTGAAAATATTAAATTAAATTGTAATTTCTAATAGTAAATTGTAGATATCTTTAATTTTTTTCAAACTTATTTTAAAATTGTCTATTTTCAAAATATGACTAATTTTAAACATTGACAGTTTGATGCGTTTTCTCTCCTTCCCCAGGAATTCTCCCGTGATTTATATTGAAGAGTTGGAATCCAGGAACCGGTTTTTTCTGAGAGAGAAAGTCGTCTTTTTATAATTTATAATTTTATAATTTATTAAATAATATTTAATATTTAAAAATGTTAACTTCTTGCGAATCTAGAATCAAAAGTTTATTATATTTTATTATATAATGGCTGACACGTGATGTCATTGAAATATGATAATTTTAGATTTTACTGAAAAAAAACGTTTAAATATTAAAAAATGTTTGAGAAAAGAATAAAGATTTTGTTGGCTCTGGAGCGTATTTAAAGTATTTTTATTCCAACCTTGGATTCATGTTAATGGGAACACATGTTAGAGTAAAAGACTAAAGAATTCAAACGTTAAACCCCCCTTGATATTTCTCGCAGAATGATCGAAAATTCTCGCAGAGCGTTAGACAATTCTCACAGATCGTTTGACAATTCTCACAGACTGATCGACAATATCACAGAGTGTTCAAAGTTCTCATAGAGTATTCAATAATTTTCACATAATGATCGACAATTCTCACAGAATGTTTGACAATTCTCACAGATCCTTTGACAATTCTCATGGATTGATCGAAAATTTTGACAGGGTGTTCAACAATCTGAAATTCTCTCATAGTGATAGATAATTCTCACATATTGATAGACAATTCTCACATAGTGATAGACAATTCTCACAGAGTGTTCGACAATTATCACAGAGTGTTTGACAATTCTCACTGCGCGTTTGGCAATTCTCATAGAGCGATCGACAATTATCACAGAGAATTTGACAATTTTCACAGAGTAATCGACAATTCTCTCAGAGTGTTCAACAATTCTCACAAAGCGTTTGACAATTCTCTGAGAGAGTTAGAAATTCTCACAGAATGTTTGATAATTCTCACAGGGGGTTGCAAGAAAAGGGGTGAGTAGAGGATGTAAAAGAGGAGAAGGAGGGGAAGGGGGGGGCTGAAAGGGGGCGCAAGAAAAGAGGTGAGTAGAGGATGGAAAAGAAAAGGGATGAAATGGAGCAGAACACATCAATACCTGGATTACTAGGGATACACTTAGTGTTCACTACGCACTACGGGATAAATGTTTAATATAAGATACCCTTAGCTTAGTGTTCACTACGCACTACAGGATACATGTTTAATATAAGATAGATAGATACACTTAGTGTTTACTACGCACTACGGGATACATGTTAAATATAAGATAGATAGATAAACTGATAAACTTAGTATATATAGATACACTTTAGAAAAAACAAGTATTCGCGGTTCATTACTATTTCGAAAAAAGTTCTTGAACAATGTCTCATATCCAAGAGTTGGGTAACCCTAAAGGCTAAAGGATTGTTTTTAAAAGTTAAAATCAAATCAAATAAAAATTATTTATGCGCCTAAGCATATAATATGTGTATGCAATGCATAGTAAATGAAAAATTTGTGTTGCCTCAGAAAAAATGATATTTCCACAAGTTTGCTGAAAATTAGGTTTTTAAAAGCTAATAACTATTTATAACACTGTTATTTTGGTTCGGAGGTTTTAGACAGAAATATCCTCTTTTCGAGATAAAGAGAAAATTTAAGTCCAAAAACTTTACACCACGTCGTGCCAAAATAAATGTGTTAGAGGTAATTTTATGAAACGTCTGTGTACTTATCTTACTTCTATGGCTATTTCACGATGAAGTGAGGAAGAATGAAAAAGTACACAAAAGTTTCATAAAAAATGAAAAACTCAATGGCCAGATTGAAAACGAGGGCAAAATGATTGGCGCAAAGCGCTTCAATTTTCTAGTTTTGAACAAATGTTATTCTATAAACCTGAGTTTTTAATATATATTTATTGACGTCTATAAATATAAAAATAGTAATACTATAATTCTTACTTTTTCATGTCTTATAAACAGGAAAATACTTGTTTAGATGAATGGTGATTTCAGATTTTAAGAACAAAAATGTTGACAAATATTCATCTTTACTTTGGACAAATATGTAGTTGAAAAAGTATAGACCTAGCGAAGANCTATTTGATAATCCATATTCGAAAATCCATATTCAATAAGCAGCTAGATAGGTAAGTAGCTAAAAAATTCAGCTAATTAGATATTAAAGTAGCTAATATACACAACTTGTTAGATAGTTAAGTAGCCAATATATACATAGTTAGATAGCTAAGTAGCTAAAATGTTCACAAGTCAGATGTTTAAGTAGCTAACACTTACAACTAGTTAGATATTAAAGTAGTGGTTGATCGATTTTGAAACCAAGTTTGAGGACCTAGCGATATACCTGCGTCTAAACTTTCTAAGAACTTCGCAAAAAAAAAATTATCAAAAATTTTCAAAAATAGCAATCGCGCGTCCATTTTCAAAAAATTCACAAGTAAGACCGTAAAAAATATATCTAAAAATATATTTATATTGATATGGGTATCAAAAGATGCGTCTCAAGCCGCTGAATACTTTCCATATTTCAGGTTTTTGATAGATATATATTAAATTGATTGATTTATATGGCCAAAAAAGGACTTTTATGAGACTTTTCCATTTTCCATAAAAACAGTTCTTTGTCTTTTATTGGTTTTATGAGACGGATTTTTTTACTCCTTTATTGACATATTTTGAAATTTTTTTTTTCGTTCAATTACTTTTGACTTTTGTTGGCGAAAATGGCCGCGGGTTTCAATAGTTCTGACTTTGTCAAATTCCCCTTTAGGTCATTAATGAAAAAGTAGATAAATTGATCAACCCTATTAAGTAGCTATTGTAAACAAATAGTTATAAAGTTAAGTAGCTAATATATCAATTCAATGAAGAAGACTTTTAATTTAAATTTTGATTTAAAACAAGCTTTTATACAGCATGGATACACATAAACATGGAAACAAGGAGAAGCTAAAGATTAAAAAAGCTTTTCTTTAATTACTTGTAAAATAGAATGGCAGCTACCTAGATATATAATTAGCTAGAATAGAGAGACAGATATATAGAGAATAAGAGCTTGATTGGTAGTAAGTTAGATTTATAAGTAGCTAGAAGAGAGAGCTAGATAGATAGATAATTAGCCAGAATGACAGCTAGATAGAAAAATAATTAACTAGTATGAGAGTTAGTTAGATAGATAATTTGCTAGAATACTAGATAATTAGCTAAAATAGACAGCTAGATAGAAATATAATTAGCTAGAATACAGAGCTAGATAGATAAATAATTAGCTAGAATGACAGCTAGCTTGATAGATAATTTGTTAGAATACAGAGCTAGGTAGATAGATCATGAGCTAGAATGACAGTTAGTTAGATAGATAATTAGCTAGAATACAGAGCTAAATAGATATTCAATTATAGCTAAAATGACAGCTAGCTTGATAGATAATTAGCTAGGCTGACAGTTAGTTTGATAGATAATAAGCTAAAGTGGCAGCTAGATAAATAGATAATTAGCTAGAATAGAAAGCTAGATAGAAAGATAATCAGTTAGATTAGAGAGCCAGATAGATAGTTAAGTAAATCTTATATTAAATAGAAAATTAGCTAGAATAGAGAGCAATAACTAGATAGATAATTAGCAAGAATGCCCGCTATTAATTTATATTAGCTAAAATAAAGAAGTAGCTACGCCACCCCACTCAGAGATCCTATATCTAGGTTCTCATCGTAGCTGTTCTCTTGTCCTCTTTCTTCACCTCCAGGATGGCACCGCTAGTCTTTATACTATTGTGATCATTATCTTGTCCATTGTTTTCATATCTCTTTTTTGCCTTATCTCTAGCGGTGTCCTTTTTCCAGAT